TGTTGCACGATATTTGCACCCACTGAGTATAAAACGGGAAGAAACTGGTAAGAACACCGCCCACACCCGGTTACGGAGATAGGACCTGTTACAAATCTATGGGACTACCCAATACACATTGATAGAACAATCAAAGCCAACCACCCAGACATTGTTATTAGAGACCACAAACAAAAAAGTGCCTCCTTATTGATATGGCAGTCCCTGCAGACTGCAATGTATCTTTGATTATATTAAAAAAGCTGTCAAATTACAAATAGAAATCTCAAAAATGTGGCACATGGGAATATCAACAATCCCTGTTGTAGTTGAAGCCCTAGGATTGGTTGGAAAAGATTCCAGTAGAATAATTGAAGGGATTCCTGGAAGTCCATGCCTCAAAGAGATACAAAAAAAATTGTTCTCACAAGTACAGTCCACACTTTCCGAAGGGCTTTATCTATGTATGTTTTTTTTTTTTTTTATGTCAGTGGAAAGTGTCATGGTGACATTTTTAACCTTAGGTCCCTGGTCAGAACCCGGAAAGAAATGTGTACACGCCTGAAATCAAAGAAAATAATACTGTACATTTTCTTAGCATCTCAGCTACTTTGGGTTTATTTTTATTCGGCAGAACTTTTAGGTTATTTAAAAGGGCAATGCTGTCCAATCAGCCATAATACATAAACACTTGTTAATATGCAAAAATACAATATTACTGATGCAATCTAACTGTATTAATATACAGTTAGATTGCATTATTAAATATTTTATAAAATTCCAAAGGTCACTAAAATATCATTAATCGTGGTAAATAAACTTAACAGATATGCAAAGTTTTTTGGACGAAAACTATCATTATGCCTGCGTCGCACGTCCATCATTTTTTGTTGTTGTTGTTGCGGTGTTTGATTACGTCACCATAATAAAAAGAATTAATATTCAAACTCTCAAATTTATATTCCACTAAAAAAATTTAATTTTTTTTATTTCATTTTATTTATTATTTTCACATTTTTTTTCTTTTTTGCTTGGAAGATGCCAAACGCATAAATGGCATAATGGCACCCTCGGCCTTGATGAAAACCCCGGGGGACTGCCTGATTTGCCAGTACCTTAAGCCAGGCCTGATGTTGTCCAAAAGCAAGAGAAGTGACTGAAGAATGATGGGCGAAGGTCGAAATGTTTTTTTCTTTTCTTTTTTATGTTTGAAAGATGTTGCAACCAAAGAGATTAGTGTGATACTCCTGAATACTTGGGAACACACTTAATCAAAGACTGTCTAAAAGGACTGGCTTACTCGACTTGACGTTTATATATATATATATATACACACACACACACACACACACATATATATATATATATATATATATATATATATATATATATATATATATATATATATATATATATATATATATATATATATATATATATGTTGTGGTATGTCACCACGAAATGTATCTTTATACATCCGACAACATTCCTTTTTTCTCTTACTTAAACCCCTTCCAACCACTTCCCCTAATATTCTCTCTGTTAAGGTTTAATCTCCCCCCCTCATACTTACACTCTCTCTAAATTCTGTTTTTATTTCCGGAGTTGTTTTTTTCTGTTTTCTTTTTGAATTTGTAGGTCTGATGAATTGGATCGTATTTACGATTCCAATGGAATAAATTATGACCATGGAATATTACTGTTTAAGCCTTTTATTATACATATATATATATATATATATATATATATATATATATATATATATATATATATATATATATGCATACGATGATGTTCACACTGTAAAAGGCACGAGAGTCAATCGAAGGAAGGGCTTACAGAATAAGAGGCACAGTTTATGTGGATATGTGTGGAAGATAACAGTTAACAATAGACTTGAACAGGTTAAGATTGTAGGAATAAGTGGAAAATATATATTTTTAAATGGTCTCTTACTGGAAGTCTCTGTTTTACCAAAACTTTCCTATATATAACGCACATTTGTCTGTGATGCATAGACTGGGTGTCATAATGGATACATTAGACTTTATTTATTTGTACCCAAACTTTGACTTGCTGGCGTGATGTACTTTCAGTCAGCAACAATAACGATGTTTGTTAATGTGATAGATTTGATAATGATAATTCGACAAAATCGTCATAATTCCGATAAAAGTTTATGCTATGTGCTATAACTGATGGTGATGATGACAGTAATCAACCTTGCTCTTTCTTGATCTTGTAGCGGGCTGATTAAACAATTTCCCCTTTTTTTTGTTATTTTATTTCCTTATTTTTTTATACAGTCGCTTCGGTGTTCAAATTGTCCTCTTTGACTTTATCCGCTTTGTGTAGTTTTATATTTATAGTAAAACGCTCAAGCATCAATACAAACTGACTGGCCAAGGTGGCGATAACCTTGGCGATTGTTTCGTATTATCTGGATTTATTGACATGCTTGGTTGGTCATTGCCTTAGCGATTTAAATCATGGTTCTTTCAGGCCTCATTGCGTATATCCGACGCCCAGTTCTTTGTAGATAGTCAGCGGTTTCTCTTTTGTCTGCTTATATTCAATGACGGTGGACTAAATAGAGCACTGAAAGAGGGAAAAGAGAAAATGAGCAAGAAAGAGGAGGGTTATTTCGACGACTAGAACATCCGGAGAAGCTGAAAAATAAATAGACAGATAGATAAATAATGTGCAAGATAATAGGGAAATAAGAACGTATTGAAAAATCAGAAAGAAAAACTATAAAAATCAATTTTAATCTTTGTTTACAGCAAAGAATTGAGTGCCCATTTATTATATAAAATCTAATCTTTATTGCAGTGAATGTTACACATTCTCTAGACAGATAAAGAAACTGGATGAGACTGAGATGTGATTTCGTCTTAAAATCCTTACAATCAGATACAGATACAGATAGTTGAAATTTCTGGAACACTTAATATGGAAAGGGATCTCAGTAATTTAACACTCACAAGAGGAAGGGACAACAAAAGCAGAATAAGTAGCGAATAGGGCCAATAATATATCTGTAGCCTAATGATGAAAATATATATGATTTACACAAGATTTATTTTGCAATATAATCTTCCTCTTACACTATTAACATTTTTCGGACTTTGTTCTTATTTTTCTTGTCATATTGACAATGGTTCGGCCGTTGTACACTCCGGCTTTCTTCAGGTGATATACGTTGGAATTTCGAAGCGAACTCTTTATTTTTTTCACCGGGGTAGATTGTTTCAGTTCCATGTGCCATGCTTTTCCTTGATATCTTAGTATCAGTTATTTCCCTTTAGAAACTCAACTCCCCAAGTTTTTGTTAATTTCTGCTGTGGTCAGGTATTGAACTCAAAATAATATGAAAAATGTAAATAGTTTAAATAGTTACAATATCTCATCTCATAAATATAGAAAGATAAACTCTTGAACTGCACTTTTGTCTTTTTCTTCAACTCGTACAGTACTATGCAGGGATCTACCTTGATTGGCTCTTGGACCTTGTAGTGCGTGAACATTAGCATAAGAAAAAACAGAGATCAATTTTTCTTAGATCTATGTTCCTGATGAACATTCAATTTGATTTATATTATCTGTCATTTCCTCGTCTCAATCCAATGCAACTAAGACGACCGAAAGCACTTGAACAAAACAACATCATATAAAATTTCGACAGTTTTACACCATTTACATTGTTTGGACTGTTGTCCTCATTTTTATTGTCATATTTACGACATTTCAGCCCCTGTACGCCCAGCCCTTCTTCAGATGTTATATGTTGAAATTTCAAACAGAGACCTTCGTCCACTGGGGTAGATTGGTGTAGTTTCCCGTGTCATATCTATTTTGGATATTTCGGTTTCAGTTAGTTATCCACTCAGTTTCTCCAAGTTTCTGTTCACCTCTGCTGTGGACAGGTATTGAACTCACAACGCTTTGGGTCAAGTTACTGGATTACTTCAACCAACGCTTTTATCCAGTGGGTGTTCACCATAGCAGAGGTGAACAAAAAATTTGGAGGGTTAATCTACTATAAGGAAATAACTGAAATTGAGTTATGCAGAAAATACATGGTGGGTGGAACCAGAGCAATATTCCCCAGTGGACTAGTTTTCGGTTCGAAATTTAAAAGCATATCACCTGTAGAAGGCCGGAGCATACAACGGCCGAAACGTTGTGAATATGACAATAACGCTGAGATCAACAGGCCGAACAATGTAAATAGTGTAAATAGTTACAATATATCATCTCAGAAATATAGACAAATAATCTTCTTCGTTATTAATATACTTACAAATATATTCGCTATGAAAACTATTCATTGAACAGTAAAATTCTTCATTGAAATTCAGCTAATAACTGTGTCAAGAAATGGATGGTATATTCATCCCCGTTGATATTTGCCAAGTATGCGTGAATCTGTGTTGAGAATGCCATAGTTAGAACATGTGAGCAAAAAGTAAATTTTAATAAATATAGGAATGAAAAAAACTCTTGTATTTAGAAGAGTCAAGAGAAAGGACCATAATGAGGAAAGTGGGCTTCGAGAATTTGAAACACACAAGACACATTGAAGGCAATAGGAGCAGAGAAAAACAGCGACTATCCTACCTAACGAGCTTGTGTAAATGGTTGGCAGTACCGGGACTTGGAGTACTGTACTGACTGTACTGATGCGGCATTCACCCTGGGCGGATTGAGCCGGTTTCTTCCTGTTATGAGAAGAAGATTCTTGGGATAAATTACAGAAGTAGGGTACCCAGGCCTACTCGGATAACGTTCTTGCTTGCCGCGGGGTTCCCACAGACGCAGAGACAGGAACGACCAGAAACCGCCGGATGCCGATGCAGACGCTCCTTGGATTTTCACCAGAGTCCTTGTTAGCCGGCGTGTGTGTCAGACCTGTCCGCCTTGGGTGGCCCTACCAGGAACGAAGTTCCGGGCGGCATAGCTCTGACACTACCGTTTACACCCCCCCCACCGACTGTGAGGTAAGGGTTGGACTTTGGGGGCTTACAGTACCAGGTGTTCCCAAGCGGTCCCCCATCTAAGTACTGACCTGGCTCTACGATGCTTAACTTCGGTGATCGAACGAGAACCGGTGTTTTCAGCGTGATTTGACCGTAAGCTCTGGGACTTGGAGTAGTAGTAAGAGAACAAATATTGCTTAGAGATGCAAACGAAAGGGAATTATAGAGAACCATGATCGCTTACTTCTTGAAGGGTTACAATATAAAACAAGAGTAAGTTAATCTAACAGAAAATCATAAGGCATGTTTTGAGAGCAGAAGATACAAAATATTGCCCATTCCGGTGATTCGAACAGCTTGAAGTTATCGCAAGAGACTAAAAATTAATTAACAAAACATTACGAAAAAATAAAAAATAAATGCATACGGTTATTGAGTAAATTCAACTAGCTATGGTACAGGGTCAACATACTTCCACTGTTGATCTAACTCACAAGTCTTACAGTAATATATAAGATTCTTCCTCTTGTATGTTGTGTCCATTCAGAACGTTGTCGATCACGGTTCCCCACACATCCCTATTATTTGTAGCTCTTAATAAATGTTGTCTTTTTATTACCTGTCTCCTAAACCCTGATCCGCCATCCATTTACTCAAGCTCACTAGGTAGGATATGTGTTGTTTTCCTCTATCTCTCTTGTCTTCAATCTGTCCTCTGAACTTCTCTTATTCTGGGTTCTCTTTTCTCACTACGTTATACTATAAATGTTAAACGCCTATTTCTGATGTTAAGTATAAGTCTATTTTTTGTTTCCATTTTCTTTCAATCTTCGCCGTTGCTCAATCTTTTGGTCAATGGTCTTCTCAGCGTCCGTCTCTAGAACTACGTTTTTGTTCCTTCAATCTCTTCTTCATCCTCCATTAGATTCGCTGTCATTTAGGCGGGCTGATATTACGTAACAGCCCCGTATTCTTTTATTTGTTTCCAATGAAAATGTCCCTGCTACATAATATCTTTTGGAACTCATCTTTGCAAGCTCAAAAAGACCTGGGAGTTTAGTGTCACGCTTTCCTACCTTTCTTTTAAAACCTCCCAAATATTTAAAATGATGTACTTGTTTGATTTTAGTATGTCCATTTTGTAATTTGGATTTTGAGCTGTTTCTTTTACCAACAACCAAGAAACATATTTTCTTGCAATTGTTATTATTACGTTGGTGCAAAAATAATGACGAAATAATGTCGTTTTTTTGAGGTTAAAAAATACGTCACAAAACGACATTATTACGTCATTATTTTTGCACCAACCTAATAATTCTTTCTTCTTGCTTTACTTCACTGCCATTTGTAGGAGTTCTTAAAGTTTCCTTTCTGTGTCTGCTATCAACACTGTATCTCTATATCTTATATTGTTAAGATTGTAGCCGCCAATACTGAAACCTGGTAGCATTTCTAATTCTCTCAGAATCGCCTCACTGTATAGGCTAAATAAATCCCGCAAGCAGATACATCATTGTCGTACGGCCCTTTCTATTTTTGTATATTTACTGAATTCATTTTCTATCCGTATGCAGGCGGTTTGCTGCCAGTATATGATCTGGTTTATTCTAATATCTTTCCCATGTAAATTAAGGTTACCTATCAGCTCCATCAGTTTTTTTTTATGATGTACTTTATCAAACGATTTGGAATAATATATTGACGTCTCAATTGTCGCTGTATAGCCGATGCTCTACGGCCAATTATATATAAGTTAAAGGTAAGTAAATATAAGTTTCATGTTTATTTCAAGAAAGCACACATAGACTGACGTAATGGAAATTACATCCCATATCTCTTTTTCTTTCCTCACGGAATTTCGAATTCTTGATGTTATTTAATGTCATGGTTTGTTGCATTGGGAATTTTCTGGCTTTATTTTAAAGGATGAGTTAATTTAAAAGTTTTTTTTTATTTTTAGGCCCAGTTTGCACAAGAGTCAAGATTTCTCATGATAATTCTCCTTTTCTAGACAAGTTTTTTTTTTTTTGAGTTGATAAGTCCTCACGCATTTCAAGTCCCTCAGATTCGACATTCCACTTGAGCAGCTTTCTCCCACCAACCGCTACTTTTTGGAATCAAATCCAAAGAGGATGCTTCCCCGATCACTACAATCTTAGGGTTAACTGTTATCTTCCCCACACGTCCCCATAAACCGTGTCTCTTACTCTGTAACCCCGTACACAGATTGGTTTGTGGGCCCTGTACATAGTGAACATTATCGTTAAAAATAATTCGAAAGCATAATGAACTATACAAAGGCGGGGGTTGTTCATCTCCCTGATATGTTTGATAGACACGCATACCTTTTCCTTCTATATCAAAGAAACCTTCACTTGAATTATCTCATTCAATCGTGCATTTTATCTTTCTTTCGACTGATAGAAAGAGTTCTGTTTTGGAAAATGTTAATTGCTTTTCATCTAAATATAATCTCCAGAAGGAAGCTGGAGTTTTGGCACTGCTTCATGGAACCTGAAATCTAAAATGAGAAATATATAACAGGGGAAAATTTTAGATAATTTCCTCTATTCTGTAAGCATAAAAATGATTAACCATCCTTTTGGCTCTAACACACAGATGCGGATACATATGAAATAGGTTGAATGGCTGTTTTGCTTTCGACTTTATGTATACTTGATAAGATAGGGGAACTTAAAAATTAATCATGATATATATTTACATTTGGGAAAGAAAACGAACACGTATTGAGTGATTTAGGAGATTTCTTGCAAGTAATAACAATAACGTTTATATACTTTCTTTATGTTGGAAATATAATCAGTTTTATCGCACACGTTATAATCAGATGGCAAGAAGGTTTCTAAACAGGTGGAAGCATCTCGGCTGATCAAAGCGAATATTTTTGGAATGGGTCCAACCATATTCTCTTATATAGCGACGTCGATAAAAAAAATGTTAATATATGTATACGAGATGATTAATATCAAGAAAACAGAGGTTAGGGATTCATATGCATCTAGTCGAAGCAGAATAGAACGAGAATTGTTAAAGGTTAACAAAGAAAAATTAATAGTTATGCATGCAGACACAAATGAATTAATAGTCGTCTTTTTTAAAGAACATTGTCTAAGTTCAATTGAAAACTACATGTTTGTGCCTTACGTTTTCGCGTACCTCTCGCACGCGTGCACCTCAGGTAGCCAGATAAACGCCTGCCAACAATTAAAACTCTGAAGGCAAAGTTCTATTCACCAGTAAGTTTATTAAAATCTAAATGGTTGAAACTAGATTAAATATAAACTTGACTCTAGTCTTAGTAACAAATAAATAAAAACGTTAAAAAGCAATAGAAAAATGAATATAACAAAGGCAGCCTAAGACTGAACATAGCTGTAAGATCGTGGCTTGTTTGTTTAGCGGTATATCAACAACTTATGGGCCAGTTAATGCCGAAATTTATTTCTCTTGGGAGTATTATTCCTTTTACAAAAATGTATTGCTGATAATATTTGTTGTGAACCCGGAAGAGGTCCGAAAGGAAAGTCGAACTCAGCAATTCAGTGAAAACGTATTGTTTAACAAAATGAACGAATACAGAAGTGTTGCACGTCCGTCAAACGGCTGAGTACAGTAGTCAGCTTCGTCCGGATTCCTCTCTGCCAAAGCAGAGAGTTCAACAGAAGTCGGACATAGAAGACGTACACGTAGTCAACTCGTCTGCGGTATTTAACAGTCTCCCCACGGAGAATGTATGTGGCACAAGGCCTAGTTTAATATGTGTTTATCCGAGCACGTAGGCTCGGCCAAAAATATACCCTTTGAACCCGCCTAGACGGGTTCAGGGCCTTCTACCTCCCCGGACGAAGCTTTGTCGAAGGGAAAAGCTTCGTCCGGGTTCCTCTGTCAAAGCAGAGAGTTCAACAGAAGTCAGACACAGAAGACGTACACGTAGTCCACTCGTCTGCTGTCTACAGTCCTCTTTCAAGGCATAATATAGTCATAAAACGAGTCTATTTTGTCCATGAAGGTAGGTCCCCATAACAATATTTTTGTTTGTTTAAAAAATATATCGCTGTTAATTTTTATTACTAGGAATATATATTGCTGATATTTTTGCTGTAAAATGTATTTTTATACTTTCGTAGTGTTTTGACCCAAGTTTAGGGAGTTAACTATTTCCCCATAGATGGGACCCTAAAAGCTGCTTGGCCAGGGCGGACCTGGGGACAACTACCATTAAGAGGTGGTTCCACTCTTCTCAAAACCTCCCAAACAGGGGTCTTGCTGCCGAAGTATATTTTATCTTTGTACTCACGATGATTAAGATCGTGACTCTAAATGAATAAGAAAGGTATCAAATAGTAATAAATAGAGAGTTAACTTACATGAATATGTATACAGTTTGCAGTGAAAATTCTCAGGAAGGAAGAAAGTTACATGAAGTTACAGTTTGAGAAATGTGTAAACAATCAACACGTGCTGAAAGATGTCCTATGTAGATAGACACAACAGAAAACTAAATGTATACAAAGGTGGCTATCTTAAACAAATGTTCAAATAATAATATGAAAATGTTAGAAAATGCATATACCGGCGATGCTATATTAGTGGATGGATTTCCGAGTATAAGAAAATGTGAATCACGTGATTTAACCACGTGTTTTAACCACGTGTTTTATTGTGTTGGTTCCGGTGATTACTACGAGCTGAACAGGAAGTGTTTGAAAACGATAACAAATGTAAAATGTACCTAAACTAGAAAGGTAACAAAGAAAGAGATAGTAAAATAACAGAGGTTCGTTACTATGGCAACAGAACAACCTGCATTAAAAATGTATTACTAAGTAGGCGTTTGGTCCTCAACAGCCTGCAAAGCCCACTCAATTATCTGAGAAAAGAGTTTAATGCTTACAGACAAAAGTATACATCGAAAAATATAAAGTATTATTCAGAGACTCGGCTTCATAATAATATTCTTACATAGTGAAGAATGCATATGCAAGAAGGTTTAGCAGTATTTTGGTGCGACTTGATAATTGTCACTTAAATATATTCTTACTGTAGTCGAATAAAAGTAACATGCCAAATCATTGGTTTTAAATTTGAAGGAGCATGATATTACAACACTCAAAACACTTATCTACAACGCACAGT